ACCTGGAGTGGTTCTGTTCAGACGTTTTATAAAAACAAACCCGCAGCGGACCAGTCTCCCCTGCTGCCGCCGGCGCACAGAGGACACATTCATCCCCAAAAACGGGCACCATGAGGCGGTGGTGGTGGGGGGGCAGTGGGAGCAGAGACACACTTCAGCTGTAAGGAATTTATTCAGGCACTCTGAAGGCCACGGCAGCAGCAAAACTCAATCTGCAAGAATCAGATAAAACCGTCTCAGTTCTGACCTGATGAGCTTTGATTTAATGAGCTTCATCCCCGGCAGGAGAACAGAATTCCTTTTCCACACACTCAGATGTTTACACTGTTTTTCTTCTTCTTTCTCACTCTGCAGCTGAGGTCTTGAACTTTCTGAGTCTTAAAGAACAAAGTTAATTTTTCTTCTTCTTGTTCTTCTGTTTGAGGTCAACGATCAGGGAGCAGATTGAGACTTTTCCTCCACTTTAGGATTCATGCAACATCCATAAACGTTTGCCAGAGAGGCAGTTATCCAACATGCTGGAAAGCATACAGCTGTGCCTTCAAAGGTACAATTTATCATGTTACAGCCAACATTTTAGTATATTTCACTAGTATTTAAATGAAAAAAAAGGTGCATAATTCTGAAGTGGAAAGAAATGGATACATAAATTCATGTAGAAAGACCTCAGACCGGGATTTGAACCAAGGACCTTCTTATTGCAAGGCTACAGTGCTCCCCTTTAATTAAATTAAATAAACTCATCATCATCATAAGAAGCAGCAATCAGCTTCTCTGCACTGCAAATCTGCAAAATAAAACCGCAAACCAGCTGAAACACTCAGTTCATTTAAATCAAAGCTAAAAGCCCAACTGTTCTGAGCTGCCTGGGAACCATAATAAATTAAACATTGACCAAAATATTTGATGCCCAACAATGGCACTTGGCAAAATGAAATGTTTTCTGGTTTCCTCTGTTGACTGTGTGGCGTCTTTAATGGCTTTCTGTGTTTTTAATGATGTAAAGCACTTTGAACTGCCTTGCTGCTGAAACGTGCTACACAAATAAACTTGATTGATTGATCATCGTAAGCCCCCAAATCAAAACAAAAAATAAAGAGTTCTCTCTTTTTATGTTAATCTCAGTGTAAACCCAGCAGTTCTTTGAGGGCGTTTTGACGTTTGTGAGGATATTTGAGAACAAGCAGCATCATGAAGTAAAGGTGGGCGATACGGGCCTACAAATCTTTTTGCAATATTTTGTGGTATTATTGTCATAACAATAAAAGTGATGGTATAAAAACAGTTACTTCCTTTAAGTATCTGTATGGCTGTGACTTAAAACATTTGCCATTTGAAATGCGCTTCTTTGCCTACTTTAAAAAGCAAATGCATTTAATCATGCTTTTTTAATTGATGTTTATTGGTGCTTTTGTGTAAAAAAAAAAAAAAAAAAAAAGTATTTCTAAAATAGTGTTAGTTTATAAGGGCATTAATAAATTTAATTTTTCCACAATAAATGCTCATCCCTGTCATGAAGTCCAAGGGAAACGGGTCGTAGCAGCATCATGCTGTGGGGTTGTTTTTTCAGCTTAACCAAGGAAGCTGATTAGAGGTGATGGAAAAATGGATGGAGCTAAAAACAGGGAATCCCTGGGGGTAAAAAAAGACAACTACAAAACTGGTTCAAATCAAAGCATGAGGGTGGCCTAGTCAAAGTACAGACCCAAATCCAAGAACAGAAACTGTGGCATGACTTGAAAAATCGATGGTCATGGATAATCTCCATCCAATCTGACTGAGTTTGAGCTACTTTGCAAAGAACAATAATCAAGTAAACATATTTGTCTCTCTAGATGTCCAAAAGCTGGCAGAGAAATAACCAGGGCCGGATTTAGAGGAATGGGGGCCCCTGGGCTGGAGCCAGTTTGGTGCCCTGTCCCAGAAAAAATAAAACATATTTTACTCATGCAAATTACAGAAACTGTTAGGCAAGCCCACACATTTACAGGTACAAATTGAAGAATAGTTTGTTTAAAACATCTGATATATGACTCCATGTTGGTCCCAAAAACATCATTTTCAAATATTGCTGTGTAGATTAAAATAACAAAACTCCAACAGCATTTAAAAAATAAAATACTACATGCAAAATGAGGCCATGTTTGGAAAACACACACAGTATACAACAACAATAATTTAGGAGTCCCCTAAAACTCAGAGCCCTGGGCTACTGCCTCTTTTAACCAGTTTTAGAGTCTGTGTCAGGACATACTTGTTTTTGTCCCACAGTGGAGGTGTAACACCTAAAATGTGTTACACTTAAGGAAGTAGGAGCATGCAGATACACTTTTATACAGAAAAAGCTCCATAAAACAAGGATAAATAATCCAAAACAAAATAAACACAAATGCACGCCCACTTTTTCGTATGCTTCACAAAAAGGTTTGAGGTGCAAACCTCTGCAGAACAAAATGCATCCGTAAATTTGACTCATTATGCAGGCAGGCTTCGCTTGCACTATAAATGTTAGTCGTTTCTCCCCCTCACTGGGGGTCAGTGGGGGAGGGGTCCACCCCCTCCTACTCCAAACACAAACTTTAACTCCAACTTTTCACATCGAAACCCCACATCCAGGCAGAAGTCTCATGATGATGATTAATCAGCGTTTTAACCAGCAGGGCATGCTCGGAAGCGGATACATTGTAACTGAGCGAAGAGAAACTTAGTACCGACCTTGGAGGCAGATGAATCCAGCCGCGTACAGAACATCCAGCAGGGTTTTTCCTCTCCGGGTTACCCCGGAGTTTACCCTCCGCCGGGTTTTACCCCCTGCTGGTACCTCCATGGTTCCCAGTTCGGTTCTCCCGAAGAAAAACCCGCAGGTCGAGTCAAAGCGAGAGTCGAGTCACCGTGTGCGTACAGGTATCCCAGCGCCGCTTCCCTGCGCAGCTCCCCCGGGGGAGAAGCCCGGACGGCCTCGGCTGCTCACCTGGTTTCACCGGAACACGGCAGAAATAAGAGGGAACCCGAACCAGGCCAGCTACACGAACCACTGAGTTCACACCGAGCCGAAAGTTTGGACCCAACTCTATGAACTTCCTGGTGGCTCACAGGGGGAAAGCTGCGGGAAATGTCGGCTGCTGTGACTCATTCCAGCCCGCTGCGTGGGTCCGACCGAGCTCAGAACCACCCGGACCTCCTTCAGCCCGGTTTACCTCCCAACTCTGCTTCCTCCCGCTCCGCAGACTCTGAGTGGAGTGGATTTTCTTTCTCTCTCTCCCTCTTCACACACACGAAGTGAAGCAGGCTGGAAAAACGGGAAGCGCTTCCTGTAGATACCTTTCACAATAAGAGTCGCAAAGTGGCGGAAACTCGGGATTTTCTCCAATTTTCCGCCTTTGCATAATTCTTCAAGAAGGTCAATCAGATTGATTCTATTTTGAATTTAAGTCCAGACTTTGACTAGACCATTCTGCAGAGGTGGGTAGATGACCGAAAAATTGTTCTCAAGTAGCAGTACTTCCACATATTTTTACTCAAGTAAAAGTAAAAAGTAGCCATCCAAGAAATTACTCAAGTAAGAGTACAAATATTAAAAAGTCTATTAACTACTGAGTGACTGATCACATTATCAGTCATTTAACATTTAGAAATAACATCATCAGGTGGACCAAAGTATAAAGTTAAGTGGGCACTTTAGCATACTAAACACCAAATGACAATAATTCATATAAGTAACAAAAAAAATAACTTAAGCAAAAATAAAAATGGATAAAATCAATATACTTCAATATAAAACTTATGAAACTTTAACAAAAACTGTAAGTGTGTGTCTGGTGAATTTTTGGTTAAAACATGTTTGTTTTTCATTCAGTGAGTAGAGAATATAAACGTTTTACTCAAGTAAACGTAGTAGTGATACTTCATAATAAAATTACTCAAGCAAAAGTAAAAAGTACACCATAGGAAAAATACTCCTAAAAGTAATTATTTTTAAAAAAGAAATTACTCAAGTAAAGTTAATTGAGTAAATGTAACTAGTTACTACCCAACTCAGCATTTAGCAATTTCGATAAATTAATATGCTTTGACCTAATTTTGGCAAAATAAATAAATAAATAAATAAATAAATAAAAAAAATGAAACATATTTTTTAAATAAAAAAAAAAAATTTAACACTGATCACATAACCTTTGGAGATTTTCCAACATTACTTTCACGCTCAACATATATATATATAAAAAAAGAACATTTTACTTTGAAGTTCTCTACATCCTTTTAACAACGTGTATATTTCCGGTACCTTGACAGATGAACCCCTCTTTTCCAAACGGAGCTTCCGGTAACTCAACTTGGATCAGGAATACAACAGTGCGACCCTCCGGTTTAAATAGATCACTGTCATTATAAAGTCGGACATTTTTTATTTGATGCAAATATTTGACAAAAAAAAACAAAAACAAAAAAAAAAAAAAACTTAAATATAAGTTTTATCGATCTACAAATGAGTGCAAATTGAGTTTAACGGCCCATAAATATTGTGAAACAATTTGTGTAGCATATGCATTTATTGTTTATGTTGAACATATGATTGGAGGACTTCACAGAAAATAGTTACTTTGAGTAATTAAATGTTTACATGACATAGGAACCAGTAAAGTGCACATTAGGCAAATTAAATACCTGACTAGATTAAATAAACTGATTAGAAAGGTGTTGGTTTTTATAGAAAAACTGCAGGTTTTCAGTCCTGTTTTAAGAGAGCCAATAATTTTCTGGACCACCAAGGTTTTTAGGCAGTTTCTTCTTCCCTTTCCCCCACAAACTGGGATTCAACCAGTCCTGTGATGTTCTATTTTTCTGATGTTTTTCTTGAGAAGGTTCAGGTCCGAGTCCATCACTACACCCAGATTTTGGATCTGATCACTGGTTTCTAGCTGTAATAACTGAAGCTGTGTGCAGACTTCACTGTTTCTAACTCAACATCAATTGGACAAAAAAAGACAGGAGAACTATTAATCAAAAAGATTTATTCAAGGATCCTCAGAGAAAGTGGCTACTGATTACACACGGGACTGTTCAGGAATCAGGCCCAATCTGATGCTCTAAACATCTAAAACATTCAGTTTAATCCCAACAAACGGATCAGGATCACCTCTTCAGAATATGTTGACTTATCATTTGATGAATGCACTTTTTTCTTACAAAGTTTTCAAGGAAAATCTGTTGAGAGTAAGTAAGAGATATAAAAAATAAAACTGTATCTTCTGAGGAGACACTTCACTAAAAATGCAATCAGTGAGAAAAAGACCACCACCTGAGAGTCGTGCAAAAACAAACCGTCTCCATCCTAATTACTAAATAACTTTATACAAACATGCTCTCAAAATGTGGCAGCTGGTGCTAAGAGGCTTAAATCCTGCACCAAATATTTTTTAAGACATCCAGGTCGAGATAAATCAAGCAGCCTAGGGTTTTTTCTTTATTTTAAACACAACTTAAAATATTGTTTTCCAGCTTTTTGAGTCCAAAATGCCTCAAAGTTTTAAAGTTCAGCAGCAGAAAAAACTATTTTTTACACCAAAACAGTAAATTAAAGCAGCAGATAATTTCACACGACTTAAAATTGTATCAGTCTGATAAATGTTTCACCCTGTACCCAAAAGCTTTCACCTAATTGGAAATTAAATCTCAAAAGGCAAGAAAACAACACGTTCACCCAAACTCATCTCAAACCTCAAAGTCTACAGTTTATTTTCTTGCACTGATAAAACAATCAAATGGCACAGGAAGAGAGGAAGTCACAAAATTCTGAGATCCAAACAACACAAGAGGAAAATAAAACCAGCACGAGTGACTTTATGGCAACAAATCGATTCAAAGTGCAGCAGCTACTACGAGACGAGGTCCAACACGTTAATGAGGCACTCGGGCAACGGAGAAGTTCAGGGCCATGATGAAGTGGGGTAAGGCTGTCGGTCAGCAGGAAACAGAAACATTTACAACCACAGCGTATCAGTTATGCAGGGAAGTCTCCGATTGTGGAGGTCTGGGGTGTTGGGAGTGAATAAGTGCCCAGCTGCGAGGATAAAGACCCTGAAGGGGCTGGTTCTGTGTGGTAGTGTCATCAGTCATTGTTGCGTCTCAGGAGACGAGTCGGTATAAAGAATAACTCTGATGTGGTGATGCGACCTCTTGAGCCGCTCACTTCCCAGTGTACAGATCCACGGTGCTGGAGCTCAGGCCCCGGCTTTCCCTGAAGTTTCCGCCTCCTCGAGTCTGGAACGGAGTTTTAGAAGAAGAGGAAAGCAGAGATCAAATCACACAACTTTATAAATCCCGAAAAACGCAATTCGGTTCGCACCACTCTGGTCAACACAACAAAAGAAGAAGACAAAAAGAAAATACAAACAATCTCACGCAGAGATTGCTTGCGCCACTGCAGACAATCTCTGCATGTGTGCAGAGATTGCACCGTTCTTTTGATGCCATTTCAAAACACACATGATCTTTTAGTCTTTGTGCAACAAACACCAGGATAAGCTCTCTGGCTACTGGCCAACAGAGTTTAAAAGCCGATGATGCAACATCTACATCTACTATCAAAAGTATGTATTTCCCTTCAACTTTTGCACATTTTTCTTTGCAGCAACAAACTTTAATGTATCCTATAGAGTTTTTATGTGAAGTAAACAATTGCTAAAGGGAAGGGAAATGATAATTAGTTTTCAAAATTTGGTACAAAAAAAATGTGAAAAGGAAGCGTAAATAGATTCCAAATATTTCCATCCTCACCTGGAAAGAGTCGTCACTTGTTCTGTTCAGGTAATTCAGTGAAGCAGCTCTCTTCATGCTGGGAAAGTAACAAGAGGAATAGTTTATATATCAGGCTATTTTCACAAAACAGACGAATGATCAAACTAGAAAAAAAAAGCATTAATAACTTGCATTTACTTAGATAAAAATGTTTATTTGTTAATTACTTGGTGTTGCGAGGTTCAGGTGGTCCGTTGCCCTGCAGTTTCTTCACCAGCATCTCGCTGCTGCGACGCAAAACGTCTCTGAGCTTCCCCAGAGAGCCGCTGCGCTGCAGAGCTCCACTTCCGTCCTGCGGACACACACACACGCACACACACAACATCATCAGCCGTTCTCTGACAGGAAGCTGCTTTTTTTTTTAACACTTTGATACCCATGTTTGTTCCAGTATTGTTGAAGAAAAAAAAAATTAGATATGCCTTTGTGAAAACATGCTGAAGAACAGATGCTGCCATGCAGACATGCCTCAGTTATAGTTAGATGTAGAGATGTAAAATCAGGCAAACTCATGCATTAAGCCAGGTTCCTGCTGTGCATTTTTCTTCTTAATCTAAACTAGCTAGAGCCAAAGTGATCACTAAAAACAGGATCAGGCAGTCATTATTAAGGGAGCCTTAGCAGAAGTCAACAAACACTTCTGTGGTCTGTTGATTACATAAGACAAGTTGCACTTTAAGCAAAGCTTAATATGCGTACCAGCAAAAAGCAGCTTGTTCTATATTTACTGGTCCCTGGTAGTCGTGTAAAAAGGCTTAAAATAAGTTATTTATGTATTGCAGTAGCGTAATCATAAAACGACAAGCTGAAGTGAAGTCAGAGAGATTTGGAGCAGGAATGTTTGGGATCCGGTACAATTAAATATCCATCATTCAATTGTACAATTTTGTTTTGCACAATGTTTTTAACATTTGTAGCCTTTTTTCTTGTGTATTTGTTTAATTTTTCCATTTTGAGCAAACAAATCTGGGTTTTCCCAAACAACCAAAGTCTTTTCCTCCTTTAAAAAGGTGTCAGAGGCCATATTACCTGCTTCAGTAACCTTCTCTGCACTATGATCAGACATCCACAGTCAGCTGAATGAGAGGCGACCAGAGAGCAGCTGAAACACCAGTCATCAACACTTATGATGCGAAAAGCAAAATCTGACATTTTGAAACTGGAGACCAGGCATTTCTCTATGTTTTGTCTGGACACGGTTAAACAGCTCATCAGCTGAATTATCAATGAATCCCATCAAAACAGAGTAAACATGCTAGTGTTAGCCTAGCTCTTCAGCTAACTGTTCATTATGAAAACAGAAGGGAGGCTTTTTTGAAACTACAACAAGTGTGTCGACTCGGATACATGCTTAAAATCCAGTCATAAAGCTATGCTGCCTGTATTTGAGGCATGCTAGTAGCTTAGCTAACTCTGTGCAAGATGTGTCAAATTCAAGGCCAGGGGGCCAAATTCAAGGCCACCATAAGTTTTTATCTGAGGGCCAAATAAGTAGAAATTTCAAGATAACAGTTGCAAGCTTAAATATGATTTTAACAGTCAAATTAAAGCAGTTTTTATCTGTATACTGCTAAGTTACAAAATTGTGAGATGTTCAATATTTAATTCTAAGTAGTACTCATCAAATGCAGCTATTTATTAATATTTTAACAGTTTGCTAATGGATAGTTTTATCAATACATTTTGCCACAAATGGAATGATTTTCATAATCTTGAGGCAAAAAAATGAAAATAAATGTAACTGTGATGAAGACTGACGACTCAGGGGGCTAAGAGTTAAGTCTAATGCTGAGGAAATAAAATTTGTTCTTTTGCAGCATTTTATAGCTAAGGTTTTTGCGTAAATCAGCAAAAACATAATTTTTGAAAACCAATTAGTAACGTGCATATATTTTTCTCTTTTGTCTTCTTCACTGTGAATGGTGCCACGGTGAACTTGTGTCCTCATCCCACTTTTTTTATTTTTAAATTATATTGCCAGCTGCAGACATGGGCAGGCTTAGGCAAGCAGGGAGATTCTTACAGCCGTTCTGTGACTTATGAGGATTATTTGTACAGTTTTAGCCAATCATGATAAGCATAACTTACTACTAAAGTTAATTTCTAAAATATTCACTGTTTAAATCTTTTGAACAATTTCAAAATATTATCTTAATCCATTTTCTATCTTTGTTTAAACAAGATTTCTCACACCAACAGCCAATGTAGTGAGAAATCGATCGGCAGGCAATGATTTCTTTGCGATTGTCCTTATAATGATGAGACTATGAGTCATACATTTTTTCAATTTTACATAAATAAAAACCTTCCGTTGCCCATTAAAAGTTATTTTAACCATTTCCCACCAAAAACTGTACTAAAACAGTCATAGAAGAACTTGAATGTTTCATAGAAACTAATGGGGGCTTGTTTCTTTACCTGCTACTGCAGCTAGGGATGGGCGATATGGACTAAAACTTTTATCATAGTTAGTTTACTGCAATAATGATCAAAGTGACGATAAACTGGCCTCTTCCAGACTTCATTTACATAAGGAAATGTGATTTTGTCACTAAGGCTGCACAGTCACTGTGCGCAGATTTTATTTTTTTATGTACTGACTTTTATTAATAACTTCATGAAACTGAGGGAAAAATAGTAAAAATGCAGACAATAGAGCCCATTTTTGAGTTTTTATTTATCACTGTCACAACAAATCTAAATTCCTATGATTGTTTATTGTTAAAAAATATATTTTCTGTGTGATAAATGCCCATCCTTAGTTGATGTCAACCTAGAATAGTTTGTTCTCTGGTCTTTCCCATTTTCACCATGGTTCTGTTATGTGAACATAACATAAACATTGTCTTGGCCTTCACTTGTTTTATGTTTGGGATGCTACCGTGTTAAAAGTTATTTTAGTGAAAAGTTAAAAATCATCTTTACGTTCAAGATGTTTCTTTTAAATTCTTTCCTGTGGTTATGCTACTGCAAAGACTTCACTTCAGAGTCTTTTTGCAGACTTTTCCTGTAGTACCAATAACTTATTAAAGGAGCTTTAACTAAATGATCAAGCAGAGCAAATTGAGATTTTTAACAGTACAGAAAATAAACATATTTTAGTTGCCATAGTCCCACTTTATCTTTACACCACAGTATCTTATCCACCCACCCAAAGTTAAACCAGCTGCAGTGTAGGAGCATCACCAGCAGGGGGCGATGCAGGCACTTAGAGATGGAGATTGATTCCTGCTTTGCTGCAATTCTGCAGCTCGCATTCATGTTTTCATCCAAAGCAGAGAAAGACACAGTGTTCACAAATGAAAAACTTTATTTGAGAATACCAACAAGTGTTGATGCATTAATCGTCACAATGCAGAATGGTGAATATATAGATATAATGCAGTTCTACATACTAAGATAATGCTTATAGAGCTTATGGTTTTTGTTCTTTCACAAATAGAAACAGAATCCCACTCTATATGTTGAGAACAGACAGTTCAATAAATAAGCAAGCATTCCACTAACAACAATATCATCATAATTGAGTGAACACTGTATTATTTTTCTTTTGTTCAGAGTTGCGTTAGATGTATAGGCGTACTCAATGGAAAGGAATGAAGAATCAAGGCATGTAGCACATTGAAAAGCCATAGAGTGAATGCACTTGTCGAATCTATAAATACAGCCTACAGTTACACTTCCAAGATGTTAATTTCATTTACATTCGGTTAGGGTAAACCGTGAGGAGACACTCGCACTGAATTCCTGGTGCCAAAACAACATGATTCACCAAAGTTACAATATCTACGCTGAGCAAGAACTAAAAAGGCTCGAAGCTTTGAGTTCAAACTACGGTTTCCAACGCCAGATTGGTTCACTGTGACTGTACCACTGAAACGAGCACATGATCACACTGACATCTGTAAAGTTACACCATTAGGTTACATCTGCAATGCCATCGGAGCAAAGAATTCTGGGTATTTGCATTAAAAAAAAGGGATCAAAATCCAACATTAATGGCAAGGTAATCTCTCATGTGGTTCATAGTTGAGCTGACCGGTCCAGCTGCTCTCTGCTCTACATGTCAAACTCATAGTTCTGGTCAGACGTTTACATACACTCATCCTCAGCCTCAACATTATGTTATTAACGATTTATTAATAGTGGATCATGTGTAATACACAACCGTAATTTAGTGAAATGTTATTTTTTCCTCAATTATGGCTGTTTATTATTTTTTGGTCAAAGTATTTCTCAATACAATTTTCTTGTCCTACTACACACTGCATGATAGAATACCAGCAAAAGTGATTTTTAAAAGTCCCCCCCCCGCCCAATTTTAACTTGTGCATGTTCTTCTAAAATCCATCCATGAAATTTAAATTGTTAAGAAATTTCCACACTGGTCTGTGTGTGTTGATTCCACTCCACAGCTGCGCGCGCACAGACTTTGGCAGATGTTTTACAGATGGTTCGAACCGGGAACCTCTGGGTCTGCACTTCCTGCCGCCACCCAGAAAGATGAGCATTTGTAAACGTCACGCCAGAACCGTATCTTGGCATAACCGAGCCTTTCTTGAACACCATAGAAACCAAGGACACCGCAAGCTGGTGGGAGCCACCAGAAAATGTTACCATGGCAACAGTAGCTTTCTGTCATCAGGCAAAACTTCTCTCATTAGCAACAGGCAACGCTCACTACAGCCTTTACACTGGGCCAAAACGTATCAAAAGCCTTTAAAAAAATGTAAACAATGATGATACAAGAGAACCGACAACACCTAACGTGAAAATAAAATAAAAAATGGCAACGATCACTTTTCTTCAGCTAGGCTGCACAACCTTCATTGGATATCATACAGTACCATTTCTGAACCAGGCATAAGGTTAAAACTTTACTAAATAAACTTCTGTAAAACATAAAGTGGCGAAATCCAGGCACCAAGATGGCAGCTCAACTTTTAGGCTTCAACAATTTCCGTGAGATCATGCAGATAAACTAAACTGTAGAAATTAATATTTTGACTCCATGATAACTCTAAACATTTATTTTCCCACCCTCAGATGTACTAACTAGATAAATAAATCTACTATGCCCACGTTAAAAAGTATAAATAAATTCTGCCGAGGGGGAAAAAAACACGTACAAGTGACGTTCTCACAGGGATAGATTACACACACACGCATACACACACACACACACACACACTCATAACAACTTCCTCTAATGTCAAAGTGAGAGAAAGAGCTGAAAGAAAGACTTCTGACATTGGTTAGTGACAGGAAAGTTTAAGAAGAGCAGAGATGAGAAGACCAAACGTCCCAGCAGTGGCCAGTT